TTCCCCCGCCCCTGCTAATTTTGAGGGAAAAGGAGCCTCTGGCAACTCCGGAGAGGCGCTGGGCCTCGCCAGCTCAGCCCCCTCCCGCCCCGGGAGCCGGCTCTCCCCTCCTTTCTAAATTAGGTTATGCGGCTTGAGTTTCTAGTACCTGAGACATGTTTTGTCTTTTTCTACTAAGTTAAGGAGACGTTTATTCTGCTAAAGATCCAAAATGTCCCACGTAGAGAGCGGTGGGCTGATGGATCGGATCACCTCTTACCTTCTCTTGACCGAGTGGGACGGTTTGTGCTGCTGAGTTTTCTGAACTGCTAAGGTGGTGGTGGCCAACTTTTACCAGATCAAATTTTAGCAAATAAAATGTTTTAAGACCTGTTTTAATTTCTCACAGATTCGTGCTGTAAACCCTTTTATTCAACTGTATTGTTGCTGCTGCTGTATGTGTAATGCTAATACTCAAACAGGAAAAAAACACGTTTAGCATAGTTGTAGGGTGTTTTTTTCTTTACTAATTAATGAATCGTTTGTTTTAGAATCCAATTACAACATCATTAGCATGAACAACGAAGCTCCCGAACATCACTAAAAGTTCAAGTCCTGCCTGCATATAGTGTTGTGTTTTCCTGTTCTTTCCCTGAACTTTAGCTCGTACTCTTGTGGCTGTACACACAGCAGTTCACTAAACGGGCATCAGTTACAGGAGACTGTGCTTGTATTTCTCATATTTCAGGTTAGAAAGAGCAGGCTGAGCCAGACATGGAAATCCATTGGAGGGCAGCATGCTTGATGTTTGGGGATTTGTTTTTTGGCAGAGCTTTCAAAAAATGTTTTGTTTCCATTTTAAGGATAGGTTATAACCCATCAGCTTGTTAAAATTCAGATTTTCAGCTGAGAATTTCAATGAGAGGCTTCAAAGAGTCCAGCGCAGAAACTGAAGGACTGATCAGTAATCTGATCTTTGTTCTTGAGGGTGAAAATCTTGGACTATTTCAACACAGCTGTCAAAATCCTGGAACAAATCAGAATATCTTGTTTAGAGATTTTGGTAGATCCTTACTTAACTTTTAAACTTAACAAATAAGTTTTGGGCATTAATGTGTGTCAAATTTGCAATGGTCTTTGAAGTATGTTTGAAGGATTTGTATTCTGAAGTCAGACAACAGCTCTAATTTCCCTTTCAGAACTATGCTTTATCTACATAATGCAATAGGTCTGTTCAAATTGCCAAATCTGGGATGCTGTGACCACAGGAGTAAGTGTAATCTGTGCATCACAAATAGTTTGAGGGCATTGAGAAAAAAATATGTGATACTGTAAGAAAAGCAGTTACTTTCTTCACCTATCTATCAAGACCTAAAAGCAGAATTCTGCAGAACATCTAGAACACACAGACCCTCCAGAACAGCTTGACTTAAAGCAGCCCTGGCGAAAACTAAGTACTCTTGCTAGCAATTAGTGCTGCAGAGGGAACATAGTAACTGAAATGCCTTAAAGTAAATCCTCAAATTAGAAAACTTTCTTTATCTTTCAAAATGCTATTGCTATTTTACGACTCTACACCTGTTCCGTTAAAGATTAGGGCAGGTTGATGATTGTAATATCTTGCCTGTTGGTTGTGGTTAGACAGGTCTTAATAATATTCTTCTGTTCTTAATAACGTTCCTGTCATGCTTTATGCAGATCAGAGGTATGAGGTCTCCTAAACTGATTCTTTAGGAAATGCACCTTTCTAGGGAAGGACTTGCCCAATGATGGCACAATGCAAAAATACCATAAGCCTGCACCTTGAGAAATACCCTGTCAGTGTAAGCATTAGAATATACAAGATCTGTGCATTCTCCTATTTTAACTGTTAAACAATTTTATCAGGAACCTACTTTTATTTACTGTAACATCTATATGTCAGATGCTGACCTTGAGTATGCCTTTTCAATATTCAGTAAAGTCTTTGAGAAGTATCTGTGACTCTAAAAGCTTGATTCAAACAGTATGACAACTGTGCAATGTGATCAGTAGGGCGGATACCAGCTTGAGCAACTTATACCTCAAACCACTTCTTCTGCTGGCAATGCCAGTTGAAAGTGTTTGTGGAACTATACTGTGAAAAACCCAACTCTGCTGCTGGACTGTTTCAATAAACTTTATGAGTACTTCTGAACTGACTTGGCTAGGCAAGACAGAATGCCAACTAAAAAGCTTAACAGGGAGTAATAGAGGAAAAGGCTTCTGCTCTTCCAGAAGCAGGCTGTTGCCATTGCCAAGTGGATAGGACTGGTTTTGGAGCTGTCACCTCCAACATGGCCAGTCCCACATCCCCTCATTTCCAGGCTGTAATCATGGCTGCCTGTCCAGGGCCAAATCCTTCATACCTTTTTAATCAAAATATTTACCTCTATGTAAAAGTATTCTGGAGGTGTGTGCTTCCTATGAAGTCTAGGAAGCTACACAAGAAAGGAATAAGGAAGCTCTCTAGCATAAATGCCAGCTTTGATATCAACTTATTTTGTGGTATTAGGTAAAAAAGTCTATTTTTCACAGTTTCCAGGTACCGGACAGGTCTGATGCATGTCAGATGACGATGAAAATTTGTGTCCACTTAGTGTGATTTGAGAGCACATGTTGCACCAGATGATACAAAATGAATGGAGCTAATGCTTCTTGATCTCTGGTACTAAATCTGTGGTTTGTTTTTCAAGAAATATAATGAGGATAATCCTAATTTATCAGATAAAAATTAATCTTGTTGGTGTTTACAGAGGCAATTAATATTGACACAACACTTTGTTAGGAGACCTAACTAGTATCAGCTAGTTAAGAAAACTAACTAATAGTAAGCTAATTATTCTTTTGTGGCAGGCATAACAAAATAAACACTTTGGTAAATATGTTCCTAATAAAAATAGAATAACAAAAACCCAGTGAAAATTAAAATATAATTTTAAGTTCAAAGACTTGACAGCTATTGACATTTTGAAACAAACAAACAAACAAACAAAGTAAATAAAAGCCAGAGGTGATCTTATAGCTAGGTTCTCAGCATTGAAACTCATCATAGTAATGATTTCTTCCTGAACTCTCTTAAAAGTCTCTTCCAGATTAATTTCTTTCTTTAATCTCTTTTAGAGTAATAATTTTCTTTGCATGACTTTTAGCTTTGTCACAAATGTTATTCTCCTAATAGACAGAGTCACAAAAAGAAGGCAAGCAAGGACTATCTCTTGGAATTATTTTCTGACTTTCTGATGAGATCCTTTTACTTATGCTTCTTTCCCACTTGTGCACATGCCTTTTCCTTATACTATGTCATTTGACACAAAACTTTGACAGCTAATAGTTCTTGAAAATCTCCTTGAAGTCATCAATTCTCCACCTACATCTGTCTTGCATCTTCAGCTGCCTCACCAGTATCTCTTTCTAGATAACCTTTCTTCTCATGTAACTTAAAAACAAATTTTTCATCTTTCTCTGTATCCTCCCTTTTTCATTAGTTGCTCTAGCATCTATATTAATCACTGCTGCAACCCTAGCATATTTTCTAATTCTTTTGTTTCCTTTTGTTCCCTCCTTGCCTGTCTGCAACACGTGCCAATATGCTGCCAGTTTCATTTCTACATTATCTCCAAAATCCGTGTCTTTGAATTCCCATTGTGAAAAGTCCTGCCAAGACTCAATAAGCTGTTGCATTGACTACTATAATTCCATGTAAAAGATTCCCATGGTCGTGGCTTTGGAATCTATCCAGTTACTAACACCATTTGTTTCCAATTCCCGACTTCCTTTTAAGCCACACTAAGATTTTGCATCCTGACATTCCAGGCCTTCTAAAGTTTGGAAATTTCCTCATCTAGTTTCTTTCCTATGCCTTCATTATTCTAACTCACAATAGTTTTAACTTACATTTGTATCTCGCTTCCCTTCAATCACCTCTTCTTTTTCATATTCCTCCTCTTTAAATTCCTTTCTAAGAAACTAGCTAAAAGGTCTAAATCCTCTACTTTCACCCTGTAAGATCAGCTTGTATTCATTAAAGAAATCTACAGACAAGGAGCATATCTGTCACCATTATTGATGCTATCACTGTTCAGGTAATAAACAAAATATTTTTTATCAGTCATAAAGGAATGTATTTGAACTATATCTCACCCTTAATATATGCTTATTAATTAAGTTGATATTTTTAATGGTAATATTGACCACAGTTAATTTTTTTAACATTCATGTAGATACACAATTTTATACATAGCTACAGGATTTTTGTTATAATTCAGAACTAACTATCATTAAAGCATTATCCATATATTTCACTTACAACAGAAGAAGCCCATGACATGCTGACATGGATATTCAGTATTGTATAGGAACAAGAAGTACACTCTCCCAAGCCTTACAACATCTACGAGTTGAGATACTCTTTATCTTTGTTATCTTCATAACATGCAACTAATGTATATTATATTTTTCTGCATTGTTATTTAACTATGTAGAATTAAAAAGTGAAAAATCTGGTGAAGAAGATCACAAACTGCAACAGTAAGACATATTTATAAGAATTTTTCTGCTTTGGGACTAAATTACCATGCTGACAAGTATTAATATACTTTTAATATTTTCAGATCTATAGATGAAGACAGAAAAATAGAGTACAAAGCTGCTGTGAAAATCCAGAGCTGGTTTCGAGGATGCCGAGTCCGAGCCTATCTGAGGTAGTATATTAAGCCTATTAATCTGTACTAAATCTAAATTTTTTTTTCCCAAGAATTTCTCATGGTATTACTTGATTTTAATAAAATGGGAGCATCTGGGGAAAAAACCCCACAAAACCAAACAGCTATTCTGCTTTTAAATAGAATTAAATATACACTGTGCCACTGTAAGAAATACTAATTTTTTGATTTTCAGAACTGCATACAATTAAAATGACAATGCTTATTCCATGCTAATAAGCAGCATGGAAGTAATGCATCTTCAGAATAGATACACAGTATTGTTTAACAAATTTTGTCATGACTAGAAAAAAAAAAATAGATGTCCCTCAGACATGCTGTTTGCAGAGACTTTTCTTATCTCTGTGATTGTGGAAGTTTCAGAAAAATTGCCTAGCGAGTGTATGGTAACTGAGCTCTTATAGTACAAAATTGTAAGTTCTATTGCTGGATTTGACCAGGTAATTTTAAAAAATCTTTCTGTACATAATTTTCTCAATTTATAAAACAGAGATCATGTACAATTGTTTTGTTCTGTAAAATGCTATATTGACTTTCATATAAATTTTTTGGAAGCAGTATGGTTGGGCCCTCCTCCGAGGAGACTCTCCCCCATTTTTTATGATCATAAGCCCAATTGGTCAAACTCATATGCTTGAATTTCTGTTTGGATATAATACACTATATATTATTTTTAATATTAGAAAAAAATAAATTTATATCGTAAAGTCTCAAAGCAATCATTATTTTGTTAATGTATTTCATTTTAGATATCTGACCAAAATGGTGATTTTTATACAGAAGTGGTGGCGAGGTTATCGAAGCAGAAGATACTTCAGAAAAATGGTGGAGGTAGAAAATTAGTTTTAAAAAATTTGATTATTTATAGAATACATATGAAGTAATTCATGCACTCATCTTGAAATTAAAAAGCTGAAATTTGATCTTTTATACACACAGACACATACTTTACTATCATGAAAAGCACCATTAATTTCAGTAAGCCTAGTCATAACGGTCAAGTTAAGTCAGTGTTGAAGTGTTTGCAGCTCTATAGTATTAGTCTTCATACCACCAATGAGATCTGCTCATGCAGAAGCCTGCCTGCATGGTGCTAACTGCAGATTGGAGCTTTTCAAGGTGTTTTTTTTTCCTGGTAGAACTTTTAATTCTGAAAATAAAATAAGCCAATGTGCCTACACATTGCTGTTCTACGGTTTAGTGGTTTAAATTTCTTACTTAATGAACCTTGAAGTATTTGAGGTTTTCCCTTAAGACACACAGCAGGTCACAGTCAATCTAATTCCCTTGGTGGACCTGAAGATAGCAAAATTGTATGATAGCACATAAGCTTAGACGTCTGTTAACAGGTTTAGGAGATTAAGAAAAAGCAAGTTTTTAATATGTAGTTTACTTCACTAATTTATCAATTTATGTTAATATTTCACAGCAGTTTTAAACCCATTAGTCATTTATTCTTGATTAATTTTGTTAAATTGTTTTGTTTCAGTCGAAATAGACAAGTCAAGAAAAAGCAAAAATATTGAGCCATAATAACTCATATATTACAGGCTAAAGTCCATACCTCCTACTAAACTATGTTTTCAAGTAGCAGGACTTGTGTGCCTAAAAGCTTGTCTGTTTTTCTCCCAAGTCTATCAGTAATCTAATTAAAGATTTTATCTGTTCCAACTTACCTGGCTTAACTAATAAATTATAAGTCATCCTTTTAGGCTATGGTTTTCAGTCTACCTTCTAAAAGACTGATTTTTGAATACAGGGCAGATAGCTGCATGGTTGGATTGGGTTCTGCTTTAAAAAAAGTTGGACTTCGGTTGAGTACTGTCCCTGAGTTTAGGGAAGGTTTGTTTAATCTAGAAAAGCTTCTGTAGAAGAGGAGACACATGATAATGTATGTTAAAATTTGTCAACGAAAAGAAAGGATCCATTTAGCTACCGGGAAAAGGGAAGGAAGAAATCAAATTCATGTGAAACGTTGACATATACTGCCAAAAGATGTTGTGGAACTCCCCCTCCTGCAAGTTTTTAAGAGGAAATTAGACAAGCGCTTATCATTGGTAGCTTACATATGCTTCAGGCAATGTTTTAGGTAAAGTCATCTCATGACGTCCCCCCAAGTTCTACATTTTTTCACAGTTAAAACATTGTAGAGTGGTAAAATTCATTTCAGAAACAAGGCGATGTATGTGTTTCTGTGCTTTTCATGAGAATAAGAACCATGTCAATTTTTGGCATCTGATCATTAGGTCTTTAAGAGGGCTTGAGGAGGACAAAGGTCTGATGGTGGCCATTTTACATATTTTTCAATCCTGCCAAATTATAAGGAGCTATCTTTTGGCTGCTCCATGTTCAAATGCTAATTTCTTTGTTGATAGTAATCGGTTTCCTATTTTAAATGAATGATGTCACTTCAGAGACTTATTTTTATATATACACATTGTAAAAACAGCAGTGTCCAGATAAGATACGAAAAGAATACATCACCACTGTGCCTATCATTCATTGCACTGTTCTGAGTGGTTCCGCGTAGCTGAAATAGCAAGATAATTCTTCCCAGAGAGCCAACTGCAATGGCATTTGGAATTGGTGCCCAGTGAGAAGCAGTGGGCACAAACTGAAATACAGGAACTTCCACTCCAAGACAGGAAAGAACTTTTTTTACTCTGAGGGTGATCAGATACTGGGATGGGTTGCCCACAGAGTACAAGCTGTGCTTGTGGAGTCTCCATCCTTGGAGATACTCAAAACCCAACTGAACGAGGCCCTGTGCAACTTGCTCTAATTGACCCTGCTTTAAGCAATGGTTTGGAGCTCCAGAGGTCCCTGCCAACCTCAGTTGTTCTACCCATCAGTGAAACTGGAGGTCTTTTACCTCATCTCTTTTTTACTTCTTTCTTCTTTTGCCTTCTCTGCTTAAAAAAACCACTCTGACAGTTACATTTTAAGATAAAGAGTCTTTCAAATGAGCACAGATTTCTTTTAATAAGCAAGCTGAGATAGCTAGCATCATAAAACCCCCTTAGCTTTCCATTCTTGAAATATATTTCTGAAAATAATAATAAAAAAGACTTTAACCAGTAGAGCCTGGTTCATATGTAGTTCTTCAAATAGACATAACTGACAAGCCCTTGCCAAATCTGAGGTCTGTGGAATAATGTAGGGTGAAAGATTGTGCAAGCCCACATATAATACACACATTCTAAATCAGACCATGAACTCATCCAGTTTTTGGATACCAGTACTTATCAAATATTAGTCAGGGCTCTAGAGAAACAGAATCTCATCAGCAAGCTTATGAATTGTACAGCAATCAGCATAGAAACCACCTTTTTTTCCTCAAATGCTTCATTTTGTGCTTGCTGTCTCTCTGATTGGAGAGGACTAAATAGAACAGCCTGATTGGAAGCTAACCTGAAAGCTACACAAGTAGCAGACAAAAAGGCACCTTTTTCTCCCTTTAGACCACTATATTCAGTATTGTATGTTTTGGTGTGGACTTAAATATGAAGTTCAAGTTCATTCCCTATATTCATTGTTACACTATCTTTACTTGATCAATGGCTGAATTTGGAATATTTTAAAAAGAAACAAAAATCTTCTCAGCAGCTTAACACAACTTTTAAGTTAAGGGATCAGTTAATGCTTGCATTGAACTCTTGCAAATGTTGTGATGACTCCTGATTATGAAACACAATGATACATTTAATGTGATAGTTCCTTAAATACAAAAAAAATTGGTCACTTTAAAATTTGTCCGCTGATAATGATTGGATTGGTATCTGCTGCCAGCAAACAAGGCAAAGCATATGCACAAAATACCCATGATTACTTGATAATAAATCATTTTAATGATTATATTCAAAATTGTGAAATGTGAGTGGTACTGATGCGGAAAATAACAAAGGCTGAGGCTCATCATATTGCCTGTCCATATGTGCATCACTACTAGCATTTCATTTGTTACTCTTCTAGTGCTTCTTCCTTTGATTGTTAAAATACATTAAGTTAAAAAAAACCCCACTATTGATGGTGTTTATACGACTAAAGTTATGTGCCTTTCTATATTCCCAATATAGGTGCTTTAGTATAAAGCTTTGTTTCCTAATAATAATCTCAAGCTAAAATTAAGAACTACACTCCTATCGTTTTCTTAATAACTTAGTTACATTGGTTGTACTGGATTCTGAAAGTCTTGCATGAACTGCAGGACAGTATTAATTTTAAAACCAGGCAAACACGAGCACATGAATGAAACACATCACTGTTTCTTTTTACGGTATTTCTCAGTCAAGAAATCACTTGTTAAGCAAAGGGAATTGTAACATTTCATTGTTAAGAGAAGTTGACATGCACCATGGCCATATTTTGAGGTCACTTTTGAAGGAGATACAGTTGAAAAAAGTCAATATTTTACGTGATGTAGTTTAGCTTCAACTCAGTAAGCAGTTTTAAATAGTCCCAGTCCAATAGGAATTAGGCAAATGCCTATTTGCTCTAAAAAAAAAAAAAGTGCTTGTTCCCAACTTAGACCATGTGATGGTTCCTTCTCTCAATCTACTCTCAGTCAAATTTCTGGTTCTCCTTTGAATTTGTCACTTTCTATTAACTGTTTAAAGAAAAAGAAAACACCAATCAGGATCAGATCACATTTGTAGGTGATCCCCAAAGATGTTTTTAGGAGAAACAACATTTTATACACAAAGGGTTTCAAATATATTTTGGAATTGTAGACTTAAACTAGTAAGGAGACCTGTATATTAACATCAGAGACAGATACAAAGACTTCATGGTTCAGAAGTGGAGGTGTTGCATGTCTGTGAGATGGCAAGATAATTCTTCCCAGAGAGTCGTCATTGCAGCGTCACCTTGGAAGTGGCACCCTGTGAAAGAATGAGAGGCAATGCAATGGGCACAAGCTGAAATGCAGGAAATTCCACTTAAGCATAAGAAAGGAGTCTTCTGGACAAGAAGGCCCCAGTTCAGGAAAGAACCTTTTGTTTACTAGAAAAGCACATAAATCTTAACTTGGTTTGAAGCACTAAATTATGGCTATGCTTTTGTGAACAGGGATGAACACATTCTCCATCACTTGTAATAGCAGAATTAGTACATATTATTCTAATCAGGATTAGAAAACAGAGAGCAAATCCATTTGCTAAAGGACCTAGATGGTGACACAGGCTTTGACTTTTGGCGCAAGAAGAAGGTTGTAAGACAGTTATAGGAGCAATTCTGCATTTGGCCGACTTGTGATTTAGAACAACATTGAGTAAAAACCTTTTTATTGTGAGTGATCTTGTTAAGTAGTGGTAGGATAAGGCCTGGATTTCTCACACCTAAGTGAGCTATGCAAGTTAGGACCCTAGTTGCCATTGACTGTCTGTAAATAATAGTCAGAGATGCAACTGCAGAGTTCTTCAATAATTTGCCAAGCTCAGAGGGAAAGTGGTCCCACTATCATTCAGTATTGATGATATAAAGAACATAACGATGTTAGGTCTCCAACTTAGGTTCTTCAGTGAAATGGCGTGCCTTCAGACCTAAGCGCTCACAGCCTTCAAATATGAGAAGAATAAACAAGAAGGTGTGAGATTGTTTAGTTTAATCATTGATGGACAGAAATCTGATGATCATTTTTAAGCTTAGAACTTTCCATTAAAAATGTACTTTATCTATTTGGTGGTGCGGCAACTCTTACATGCCCTTCCAAAGAAAGAAAAGATGAACTGCAAAGCAAAATTGTATCAATTTAATCAAACAGTTTAGGAATATACTTAGACCTGACAACCATTATTTCATTCCAATATCAGCTATCTACAGTTAATATCACTCAGAAAACATTTATGGAGACAAAAGGGGAGATAGAGTCCACTATTCATTCTAATTCATACCTTTGGGGTGATGATTCCCTCAAAAACATATATATATATCTATGTATGTATAGGTGTGTGTTTGTATGCATCTACACATATACATGAAACTTTTTTGAAACAGTCCTGCATTTTTCTTTCATATAAGAAACATCTTTTCTACTGTTTCTATTATTAGTAGATTGGTATGATATTAAAGTGAGCATCTAAAATGCACCTTAATTAAACTGCAGGAATTATGCCTTGCTTAATGTAATGAAGAAAGAGAATTTAAAATGAAGTAGCATCATTGTGTTCATTTGTAAATAACATATTGCAGCCAACTGTTTCTTAATTGCCCAGACTGTTGATAAATAATCCAGTCCTGCTGCTCTCCACAGACAATTTGCTTTGGATCAGACTAGGCAATTCAAATAACACTAATTACAGTGAAACCCTTTTATAGTGAATTCCTGTTTGCCATGGGGGAGAAAATCACTATATCAGGGGAAAGCACTTTTGCCTTTGATTTGTGTCTAAAACATGAGAAACACATAAAAGCTGCATGTTGTGCTAAATAAAGGACATACTCTTGCATTCAAAGTACTTATATTTTACTTTTTATGATACAATTGTGAATTATGTTCATTTTGCATTTGTAATTAGAGGGCGGAACAGATGTGAAAGCTTAGTTTAAAGTGATGTATCCATTAAAATAACCTATGCTGCCAAGTGATTGCTTAGTATAATAGGGGATTCGTTCACTATGAGACGAATTCTACTTTATTGGAAGGAAACCAGGACTTCAGAAAATGTTTTCTATATCAGGGGATTCACTATAACATGGTATCATTGTATTTATGATTTTATGATGTTAAAATGAATATTAAATGAAACAAAATTCCCAAGGATTACTCGGGAGGCAGCTAAGTACATAACATTTAGTACAGATGGTTGGAAGGCACAATTTTGCTCCATCACTGCATCCGTATCCTTGAACGATTTCGACTGAAGACAGCATTTCTTTGAATTTTTCATTAAACCAGGCGTCTTGAAATATGAATTCCTTTTATGTTTCTGTGAGTTTTGGCTAAAAGAACCCCAGTGAATAAATCATACAATACTACGTGTCACCAGCACTTGTGAATATTTCTGCTTTGTTATTCTACTCTCAGTAGAGCACCATTGATTATCAAACTCAGCGGAGAGCATTTTATGATCATATATCTCCATTAGCTCCTAGTTTGACTACCATAGATTTTTCTGGTTAAGCCTGCATTATGTATTAGGAAGCCTATCTCTTCAATACAAAGTTTGATTTTATTCTCTCTAAGCCTAGAACTCTTATTATGTATTATGTATAAAGATTCTTATCTTTTATATGTAAAAATAGGAGCACTGTCTTTGTGTAACTGAAATATATGCCATCTTTTTTTTCCTTGATTCACAGACAGCATATTTTATTATGAAGATGAATTTCTACAATGAAATGGCTGTCAGGGTAAATATTTCTTCACTTGTTAAACAAATGAAAAGTCAATTGTGCTCCGAATTTGCTTTTAATAAAATGAGCAAACCAGAATAATATACACTTGATTGATATGCTGATGGCAACAGCGGGAAATAGTACATAGTTAAAAATTAAAGTTACACTCAGTAGTCTGGATTGTATTTGAAAACTGTAGCTGAATTTAAGACATCTACATGTGTCTTGCCCCATTTCAATGTTCATTGTAGCTTACCATATACAGTACTGATAAAAACCCCAGACATTCGATCTGCAAGTATTCTTACAAATGTAGACATATATTTACAATTCTGACAAACTATAGGGCTTTTATGTTCGTTGATGTGGCTGTGCTTTTTCTTTTGTTAGTACATGACATCTGGTGTATTGAATCTCAAAAGAGTTACTCAGAGAGAACAGGACAATTTCATTGCCTAAACATAGAGGTGGAACTGCACTGATCTCATTGATGATATTATGAGTGAATTTTGCTAGATGAAGAGGAGTATAACAGTCCTTGAACCTTAATAATTATACAGCAAATGAAGTTTTTTATGGGAAAAACTGCGAAATATATTTAATTAGAAATTAGCATTTTTTTCCTCAACTTTGGAACTATACTCAAACAAAAATGTAAAACAAAACCAGGAAAGACGTGAGATAATTCTTGGGATGAAGTCTTTTTATCTTACTTAATTCTTTTATTTTGTGGAATAAACCTGCTTTACTTTAGAGGCCTATATCTTTTTAGGCAAGGAATCTCACTTTTTGAAATCTACCAAATGTAGGAATGTGGTAGGGATGAAGGGTAACCCAAGGAAACTCCTGTAAAATAGGAAGATTCTCAGAATGGGTTTTAATTTTGTGGCCTTTCTGATTCCAAAATAACTCAGATGCAAGAGATATGTTCCCATCAGATTTTGGACTTAGCACTGGTTCTCTCAAAGGCACAAAATAGAATCTTACATTTGATGCATGTTAGAGACCCAAAGGTGTTTAAAAGCAATCTAATTCCTCAGAAATGCACTTTTTTGATTGTTTGTTTTAGTTTATTCCTTAGTTAGCTAGTTTGAAAGTATTCCACAAGGGATAAATGCTTTATACTCATGCAACTGAAATCAGTGAGAAAACACAAGATGCAAGCCATCTCTTAAAAGTTGTCTGTGTACTTTTAGAAGGCATTTGAAGACCAAATTTCAGAGCTAATTATGTATTCTAGTCAAACGGAGTTTTGCATTTGGTCTTTCATTTTTAAAAGAAATTGAATGTGTTCCCATTCATTTGTAATGGAAATATAATGTTGAATCATTAGGTGATATAAATCTTCAAAGTACCATTTTTTCAGTCATGTCCTTTTCTTTAATGGAAATTTAAATCAGTAGAAAACAATAGAACAGATCTTTATTTAGTTGCAAATGTCTGAATCTGATTCTTTTCTGTCTAAATCTTGTGCAGCCATATCTGCAGAGCAGATTTAAAATGCTGCCATTCTGAAACACTGAATGGGTTTTTTTTTGCTGTCATCTGTTTTTTGAAGAACTAACCAAAGTCCAGGACAGTAGAGAATATAGAGTTTCTTCATGGAAGATATGTGGCCAGACTTTAGGTTTCCTAAGGCAACAGTGCCTCATATTCACACATTGTGAGCTTGCTTCATGATTAATATATTTCAGTGTTCTGAAAATATAACCATAACTGTGTATAGTTTTCTAATTAACCACTTCATTTTGCCTCATAGTATTATTAAAATATTTATTTCAGTTTATAGTCACTGATTAGAAAGGCACTTTCAATTCTGGCGATTGAAGTATCAATGAGGGCGTACACATGCTCATAGTTTTGAAGTCAATTTACATCTCTGTCTCCCTGAATTGCATTTACTTGTAACCAGAACTATCAGTTTCACCTTTTTAAATTAAATCAGAGAACTTGTTTTAATCAATTTCAGTTTTGAGTACTAGTTCAGAATATGATTCTCTCTCTAAAAATATTTAAGTTTGCTATAAATTTTCAGCAACAAAAGTAATCCTATGGAAAAAATATTTCCATGAGCAGATGGCTTTTGATATATCAAGGTTTTGCCATTTGTTTTAGTGCTTAAAATAAACATTATTTATAAGACCACTTACATTTTGATGTTACTTAATGAGGAATATGCATCATTGATTTGACTAGCTTAAGAGGTCATTTAGAACTTGCCCGTTAACAAGCTGTAATCTGCTGAGCACACAATGACTTTGTTTAAAATTATCTGTTCAGTGCTGATCAATGACAATAATTGTTTTGTACCAATCACTGTTGAAACTTGCTAATTACTTTGAAGGGCATGCACACTTATCTCTTTTTTTTCAAGAATTTTTTAAACATTCACCTTGGAATTGAAAAGAAATATAGTAGTAACACATTATGCTTCTTTATAAAAGCAAACATTTAGAACTTTTACATTGAAAATATGAACAGCATCAGAAGCTTTGCATAAAATGGTATTCTCCAAAAGGATTAGTCTTCAGTTTTGCGATCTGTGACACACAGTATTAGGGTAACAGAAAACTAGAATAAAATAATTTGAGACATAATGCAGTTTTTCTTACTTATGTTTCATTCAGCTGAAATCAGTGAGGTCATTCTGAACAGAAAGTGGTGTAAATAAAGGTAAAATGCAGCATTTAATTGGTACACTGAGCCCATTGGAGATAATTATAGCTTTATACAATTTGAGTCTTTTGTCTTTCAGTTTGAGTTTTAGATGCTTTAACCCACAAATACCCAGTTCTGCATTTATAACTGTGAAGTGAAGGCTGTCAGAAAGAGTTTCAAAGGGACCATAATCCTGCATTAATGAGCAGACAGCTATATGGGAGCCAAGTTGCTCTTGTTGAGAAATTTTGAAGCCAAACAGAAAAACAAAGCTAAGATCCTTATTCACATGCAACAGATTTTGCTTAATCCCAGATCTCTGAAGGCATACTCATTCTTTGCTCTGTCTCCATCCCTTTTTAACGCAATAAGCTTCTGTATGAGAAAGTGGAATTGCAGAATATGAAATTTATTATCACCTAGTGCAAAAAAGCATGTCCAGTGCTTCGCCTTTCTTGTTCCATGTTCAGCTGCTCGCATAACTGTTATTTATTCATATTATAACAATGTCTAGAGGTCCAAACCCTTTTTATTCAAAGAAAACCCCAAACCAAACAACAACCCATAGGTAAAAGAAAATACCAACTATTTTATTTAGTTCTGGGTCTTATTTGAGTACAGAGGAAAATACATGGTGATGCACAAAGGGGAAATAGAATAGTGTGCTAACACTAAAAGTGAATTCTTATTAGTCCTAATAGTTTTAGTGCATCATTTTATTTTCTTGGTGACACATCACTCAAAGACTTACTGAAAGCTTTCCTGTGATACTTACTCTCTTGTTAAATATCACATAGAGAAATAATCACTACTGCACCACAAGGTGCCATCAGTTGAGACTGAATGCTAGTTTTTACTTTAAAGAATAGTTTTGGCTTTTTGGATTGCAAAATGGTACCAAAGACAAAGTATGAAAATATGCAACCCTGCCTTAGTTAGTCTGCTTATACATGGCTCCAGTGTGTTATAGTTTTCAGCTCAGGAAAGAGCAGGAGATGAAAAAATTGCAATAACTTTTGTCAGTTATCACAGTGGTACAGAATTGGACTGCAATGGAACTGGAAGGAGTAGAGAGAATTTTGCCTGTTAGTGAAGAGTACTCCCAGGACTTGATGATACAGACTCGAAGTCACTGAGTGCAAAGGTTGATTGATAGTGTGGGCAATGGGCAGCTTTTCTTTCCTTGCCTTCTTCCTGAATCAAACAGAACAAAACATGACACTTTTTTCCTTTTTTAACATGCTTCTTTGGAATAAGAGATAGGGTAAGAAAAAAACCAATACCACAAACACATGGATTGCACTCCACTTATCACCGTCGTACCTTAGTTCTGGAAAGAAAAGGGTTGATGTAAAGGAAAAAAAAGAAAAAAACTCCCTGTAGATACACTGAAGAGTTCTCTCTCATTTTCTTCATTGAAACATATCAGTGCTTCTACTTGATATCACTTTTAAGGAAATCATATTATTTGGGAAATACAACACATATTTGATATGCATAAAAACTTTTGATTTGAAATATACTAAGCAAATATTTATTTCCTCTAGATTCAGAAAAGGTGGCGAGGCTATTATGTTCGGAAATATATCCATAATTATTATGCACTGAAGAAATACCTGGAAGCCATTTCTGTGAATAATGAGATTGTCAGGTAATGATAAAAACTCCATGTGGTAAACCATGCATTTCCTCTTCTTTTATTTGTAAAAAGTTTATGGCACTAATTAAACTATTTCTTTGAGTGTAGGATCCCCTCCATTATCAAATATCTCTCTATATATGTGTATATACGTGTCAGTCATCATTTTCTTTATCCTAAGCCTGTGCATGTCATGCCACATTCTGTTCTCATTTACACTGTTAGGAATTCAGAATAATTTCTTTGAATTAATTAGATGTACTCTGGGTTTATACCAATTTAATAAAACCGAATTTGGCTCTTCACCTGTGCTCAGAACTCATAGATTATCATGCCCTAAATATCATTTGTTGAACTGGATTATTTTTACTCAGTATACACAAGCTAAATAAATTTTCTTTTCAGAATTTGTTTGAAAAATTGATTATTGACAATGAATGAAAGTGCAGATGTGGGGATCTAAGCTATATGCATGAGCCATACAATGAATATTAATTGTGAAACAATGGTGTGGTGTGGACATGGTGAAGCAGACTCTTCATAGTTACAGAAGAGATTAATTCACCTATTAGATTTCTGGCTCGAACTATTGCTACATGTTCCTATTCTATTTCTCCTTCTGTTTCTGCTATCTGTCCTTTGTCTTTCCCTGTACTTAAGTTGAAAGCTCTCTAAAATAGAGGCTATTATTTCCTTCTAGCACATCTGATGTCTTGATCCATGACTTTTTCTTCAGATAACAGTGGAAACAAACAGAAAATACTGGGTGACCATGATCATTACTTTCTCATTGTAAGTGAAAGGATGTTGGATGAAATCCATCCAGTTTTTGCTGTTCAGAAAGCCTGAGACAAATCTTTGCTTTCTGAAGTGTAGAAACATAAGGGAGTCTAGTGAAAAAGTATTTCTGGAAATCTTATCTAGACCACACGGCAAAGATAATTCATCTAGAAGACTGATACAGAAAACAGCATATGCAAGTTTTATAGGAAGAAAAGAATTATTGAACTTTTTTGGATGTTACTTATTAATTTATATTATTTTTCCACAATTACAGCAGATGCTACATTTTTGTCATAGCATTATAACTCATACATTACATTGTTACATAAAAGGAAGTGTACTAATGATTGCCTACCTCTAGTTTTTCATTACTGTTTATTTAAATGTATTCTATGCAGAAAGGTAGATCATAGCAAAACCAGACTTAAAAAATCTACCATCTCTTCAATTGTACCTTCTTGTTCTGAAAACCTTGAAATACATTCTCTTCTTGAAAAGGCAGAATCCGAGGAAGACTAGACCAGATCTTGGAAAGTAAATGAAGCCATAACTTTTCTGGTCCAAAACGAATATAACTGGATGAACTGCAGAGACACAACTTGCTTCTCTGTTTGTAATAGTTCTATCACTCTCCGTTCCGTGCCTAAACCTGGAACAAAGTTCATAACGTGTCAGTTAGATGATTGACCTTTGATGTGTGTGAACAAAACCAGATAGCAAGTGATATTCCTGCT